GATATTAAGGTTCTAAACATATCCTAGCTTTGATTTGAATTGGTTTAGTTCTAGTTAAGGTTAGTTTAAATTGATTAGGTTTTAGTTATGATTTATTTAAAGATTTATTAAGATTTGATTTAGATTTTAAGGTTCAATTAGGATTTTATTTAGAATTTAGAATCTGCTTAAAATTTATTTAGGATTTAAGATCTAATTAAAATTGATATAAGATTTCTTAAGAATATTTTTTGGATTTCATATATATTTTTTTAAGGTTCTTATGGATTTCTTTTAGATTTCTTTAGGATTTTCCTAAACCTTATTTTTATTTTCTTTTCTTTCATATTTTTTTATATTTCATTAGGATTTCTTTATTATTTTTTTATGATTTTTTTATTTTTTTATAATTTATTTAAAATTTTAATTAGGCTTGATCAATATTTTATTATATTTATTAAGCTTTAATTGCAATATATATATATATATATATATATATATATGATTCTATTAAAGTTGTCAGGACTTGTTATTGCAAATTTCTTTTTCCTTCCATAATCAAGTATCTGACGTATTTTCAAGCAAGACTTCATATAACACGACATCAAATAAGATATTATGATTGTTATAATCTTTAAGACAATATAATAGAAATAAAGATCCTCAAGAATGACATGTGTTTTTTCAAATAGATGGTGAAATCCAATATCTTTGATATCATGACCTTGGAAGAAACTCTTGATACTTGGTAATATTATTAGACATAGGAATCATCTTTGATGGTGTTCCAAATGTTTTATTTGAAGGGAGTTCTAAAAGCCTCAATAATAATCAAACAACAAGGTGGTCTTTTTGCCTTAGTATATGACATTATTAATAGTTGAGAGGACCTATCAACCACCTTCAAAAGAAACAAAGATCAAAGTATATGGCATATACAATTTTTCACATCTTAGACTTTCTCAATATATGATTTTTATTCCTTTTGGAACTTGTTTCCAATAGGAAAGAAAGGAGGAAGAAGGAGGGAGATAACGTCAAGGATATACATATTTACATAGATAAGAAGTATTAGATAGAAGATAAATATAAGTAGATTTAATATTATCTTATGGCAAAGCTTCTTAGAAGCTTCATAGATGTGTATTTGACTTTAAATATGTTTGTAGTTGATTGATAAGTTAGAAATTTGGCCAACATATTAGCCATGTATTGTACATACTAGTAGCTTATCAAACAAGCTAATTATGTGGCGCACATATATGAAACTTGTCTTATAAGTTAAACATATGTCTCATAAGTTGGATACATATCAAAGATCTTATAGAATATTTTTATATAGCTTGTAATTAGATAGTATATATGGAGATAAGAAAAAAGCCTTCTTCACTCCTGTCAATGCCTTTCTAGTCTTTAATCTTATTTCAAAACTTTTTAGTATTTTTTTCTTTGGTTATAGTCATTCTAGTTTTAATATAATATTAATTTTAAGTAAATATCTATTCATTTTGAATTACATAAGAGTATATTGAGTTTTTGATTCCTTAAAATTTATGTCCTTGATAATATTGCATGCTTACCTTAGTAACATGATATTATTACAAGGAAAAAAGTGACTTTTGTTAGAGCTATCTAGAGTATATCAATAGATTTTAAGTTGTCAACTTACTTGTGAAAAGTAGTAATTTGATCTTCTAAATACTTCAAAATTATAATTCTACAAAATCTCTTATATTTATTCGTCTTTATAAAAATCTATTTAATAAGAATTTAAACTTTTGACATATATTAATATTTAGAACAAATATTTTTGTACATAATCCTAAGAAAAAACTTATGAATTTTTGTTCTAAATCTATTGCTTGTATTTTTGTAGGCTATAAAAAGAAAAATAAAGATTTTTTTTGCTTTCATATATTTTTCTATAAGATTCTAATTAGCCAAGATATCTTGGTTAATAAACATTAATTTGGTGAATTTTCAAAATACACTTCTTATTTTATAAAAGATTATTTTTTTATCTTTCTAAATGCAAATAAGTCTAGTAGTCTTGCACCAACCTCTTTTAGAAATTTACTAGAACTACTTCTCATTGATTCAATTCTACACTATATCAAATATATATATATATCAATACAAAATCAAAATTATTGAAGATTCTTTTTAATGTGAAATTAAAAATCTTTTTCTCTACTTATATAAGAAATTTTTTTTCTACTCTATCTAAATGAATTCCAAAATAAATTTAATCACCTCTAACTAAATTGCTCTCTTTTCATCTAAGTATTATTATTGTTACCTTTATTTTATTTAAACATAATAAAGTAATTATTCAATAGAAGTTTTAGAATCTTTTAATGAAAATATTTGTATACAATAAATTCTTTTTTATTCTAGATGGCACAAATTAATGTTAGCTAAACCTAATTCTTACAATAAAAATCAAACTTAAAAATTAATATTATTTTTTTAGCAACAAATTTTTTATATGCCATTACGTTCTTTAAATTAAATTTGATATAAATTCCACTTATATTAATCTAAAAATTCAATTAGTTGCTAAAAGTTGTGAATAAAAATATAGTATGAATTACTTAGAAACTTTTTCTTTAAAAGTCATATAAAGCACTCTTTGCACCATTAGTTCATCAATTTTATTCTTTTGACAAAAAAATTCTCTATACAGATGTACTTACAAAAAAAATTCTACATGCTACAACCTCCAAAGTTTTTAAAATTTTGAAAAAGGAAATATAGTCTAAAAATAAAATAAATCCATCTATAAACTTAAATAAAGCTTTGATGCATGCCATGAGGAAAAAATTCCTACATTCTTCAAATTTTTGGTGTTATAGTGTCTCCAATCACAATTTATATTACATCCGCAAAGAAACAACTCTAGTCAATGTCCTCTTACATGTCAACAATATATTATTGTTAAATTATTTAGATCAAATTACTACTATTAAAAAAATTAATATAAAATAAAATTAATTAATTTTTTTAAGTAAAATTTTGAAATAGAATTTATATTTTTTATTATAAGATTTTTTTCTATCAAATTAAGTATATTTAGTAAATATTTATCAATACAAATATGTGCCCCTATTGCAATTCTATTCCTAAAAAGGTTATTGTTTTTTTCTTTTATAGCAACACCTTGGACTTTCATTAGCAATTTTATTATCATAGAATTAGACATTTGTTATATTTTGTCAACTTACAACTACATCTTTCATATGCAATTGGATTTGTAAGCCATTTTATGTTTTATCCAAAAGATGTTCATTGATTCATAATACTTTATATCTTGCAATGGCTTACAATCAACTATGGTATTATCCATTAATACAATTCTTCTTCTAATCACTCTAATTCTTTCAAAAATCATTTCATTTTAGAATTTTATGACTACATTGATACAAATTAGGGAACTTATAAGGATTCTTGCTATAAAATAAGAGACTTTACTTTCTTACTTGTGACAATGGCAATATCTTGGGCAAATACAAAAACAAACAATTGTTTCTATATTTACAATTAAAATTGAATATCAAGCTTTAGCAAAAGAAGCTTACATTGAGGTTGCATCTATACCAACAAAAATAGATGTACACTTATATTGCAATAATATAAGTGCAATTAAGTTCATAAAAAAATCATTTTTTATATTAATTTTAAGCATATTGAATTATACCACTATTTCATTTGAAAAAAAGTGATTTGAAGATTCTCCTCTTTGACTTTGACTTAGTTAAACATTAGGAAACATTCTGTAACACATTCCATAAGTTGAACATACATGAAAAACAGCTCGTTTTCACTAAGGTGCTACTTATGACAGTTGTAAATGTAGAAATATGGGTGCTAATTTCTGGAACATCATTGGCATGATCTCTTAAATCCTACCCTCATGGTAACGATTGTCACACTTGATTCTACATCAGTTTCGTTTTGAATTGAGCAACACACCTCGCGTATTTATTCGTGCACAGATAGGCATCCTCTTCATTTGATGGTGTGGTTTCTCAGAATCTTCGGTAATTTTCACAGGGAATGGCGAAGAAGTAGATGGTGAAGCCGTCTGCAGTAGTAACAGGAGACCACAAGATATCTGTATCGGTATTTGTCTGTATTGGCTTTTCGACAAATAGAGAGGCATTACTCCACCTAGAATATTGCTAATTAAAATGCAATTACTGCAATTTCTGACACCAATGCTGGTGCGTCTGAACACCCTGTTTATGAGGTCCGAAGAATTATTGACATCGATGGACCTTCGTTGTCAGATACACTAGTAATGGATGAAAACTACTCATGAAAAGTTCGTGTTACTGTGAAGGAGCCTGCAGGTAGAAGAACAAGGCAATGCAGCAAGGGGTACTAATGATCTGGGCAATTGTGCACAAATGGCGAAGACTACAAGTACAAAAATGACGACGTAAGAAAACCGTTGTTGGAAAAGAAAGAGATTTATCCCCGTGGAAAATTACGCTTTGCTCCTTCGACAACGATCGGAGATCTTCCACTTGGAGGAGTTTGAAAGCGATTGAATTCCTAAGGGTGTAACTAATTACTCTCTGCCGTCTTCTAGTAACGCAGTAGGCTTAGGATTCGGTTATTATCATTGCTACCATGCATTCTTGTTTTCAAAGTTACGCCCATGCTAGATCTGTGAGTGGGCTGCTTTCAAGATTAGAATTGTGCACATCCCTCACTGCTGAATCTTTGATGCTGGGGAGCCAAGTCTATCAGTGTTCATGGTAGGGGCACGGAAACAAGTCTTTACACCGGCAGGTTCGGGGTGCACCGATCAGTGTGTATCCAAAGGCCTAGCGACGTACAACTAATAGGGAATGAGGATGTTTCTCTTCTTACACACATAATTCGCACCTCGAAATTTCTAAGTCCTAGCCTGCAACAATCGTGATATTCGTGAAGATTTGATGATAAAACAACTGTTATAGCATTCCAACGTTTCATCATGTACAACTTCTCACAGTCTAGAAAATTTGAAGGCTTGCTATAATATTGAACGACTAGCTGTGCCTTTGCGAATATTATATGCTGAAATGTTATCATATCCGATGCATCCGCAGATAAACACCAGTTTTTTTTTACCTAGATTTTTATAATGAGCAAGACACGTCTATGAGTTTCTATTCACATGGCTTGATTTGGAGGAAGACCTCTTTCTAGTTTAGTTTGCATTTCTAGTGGCTGTGCTTACAAAGAGAAATATTCCATCTCTTTCTGCAGCTCCCTTAATCATGGCTGTGAGCTAAGTTTCAGTAATGGTGAATATATTTTAAACAGTGAATATTGGCTGAAGGCAGTGAAGTTACTTGTTGAATAGCAGCATAAGTTCACTGCTTATTTCATAGCATTTAAGCTTGCCTGCCAAAGACTGCCAAGCCAGTTGACTCTTGGGTATCAACAGCTTTGCACTTAAGAACATTTGAAACTGGAATTGGGTGTATTTCAACAACTCATCTGGGTTGTAAATCATTTGGAATGCTAAATGAAGCACGAGTACAGAGTCATAAAGACTCAGTCGCAACAAGATTTTTGGTGCTGCTTCAGAAGATTAAGCTTGGGACGGCACGACTTTGCAGGACTTTGCGGTCCTGAGGTTTTTTATTTCCTGCATTGACCGATAAAGTCCACTAAATCATTTAAGCTCTGACTACTACAATCTGACAGCATTATCTTTGGAGATGGGAAAATGTATTTTATGGTGGGAATAGTTGGAGTACCTCATTCACCGAGTCTTCCTATTCAAAGCACCGACGATATCGTTTCAAAGACTTCTGTCATTAACAAATACTTCTTTCTCCATGGTCTCTAGTGACTGTAGAGTGGAAAATGGGCGAGCAAGCACATTTGAAAAGTAAGAGTTTGTCGCTACCAGAGACCGTTGAATATAAGCATTTTGAAAGGGGCTTTCATCTTCAATAACTCAACATACACCGAAGGTGACCAAGGTTTAATATTGATGATGGATATTTCTCCAAAGACCCACCATGTGCTGCAGGAATGTTTAAAGGTATAGACGTTTCACCTGGGCAACAAGACTGATCGAGTACCTCTTCTTCTACAGGCCTGCTCTGCTCTTGTCTTGCTTTAATTTTGTTGTTAGAACCAATGATTCCCTGCGTATTAGGATTAATAAGACTGTTTTCGCAGAATGCATGTGTTAGCAAAGTGATATATTATGATTTATCGCTTTGAGAGCGTCATCACCAACCAATTCTGAAGTGAACATAGTTTTAGCAGGGACAAAAGATTTTATAGATTGTCCTATGTGTACTTTCATCTTGGAATCTGCTGGTGGGTGTCGCAGACACGGCTAATTTGGTCATGAACCTTCAGCTTACAGGTAGGGCATCATTCTTCAATGTTTGCACAGCATCAGCTTTCTTTTTTAGTTACAATCTTAATTTTCACTAGGATCCAGTTTTGACCTACTTTTATCTCTCTCGTTGCAGCTTGCAATATCGGTAACGAACGTGGCAATCAACTTCTCTGGTCTTCGTGAGTTTCCATGCAAGAAAATGATATAAGTCGCATCGATTGGGTCCTCCGCTTCCAGTTCGCAACAGATTCTCATGTCTCTGTTTGATAGATTGTTTAAGAGCTGACAGAAGAAAATGTTCACATACTAGCGATAATAACGAACTTTATGATACGATCCTCAAAGGGCAGCAGTAAGTTATACCTTCTTCAACTTTTACATCCGTCCGAAGGCCGTATGTTTGTGGTGTTACCTAATCTAATTCTCTTCAACTTCTCGAGTCTCCAACCGAGAGAATGGTCTGAACAAAAAAATGATCTGAAAAAGAGATAGATGGTCACAATCGGTGGCTGATTAGAGATACGAATTATTAACAACTTTGCATGCTCTTACAGAAAGGGATTTTCTCGAGTATTTTAAAAAGCTCTGTTTATGCCAGACATCTCATACTCACCTGATCTGAAATACATTCGACATGTTCATTGTGTAGATGCAGCGTCTCAAGCCATGGTAGCTAATCAGGGGCCATCGTTCAGCACCTTTGAAAACTTCAACTCTATATCATGTTGCTAGTTTGAATAAGGATTGGAAAGGAAGAACAGTCAATTTTTAACTTAGGAAGTAGCTTACGTAGTGACATGACGCCAGTGGAGGATAGACTTTTCCTGCCGCTGAAACAATTCAAATCGAACAAATCTTCCAATTATTCTGACCTCCGGTAGTATCTGCTCCAAGTTTGTTGTTTCTCACGTTTATTCTCCGCAAATGCGGCACAGAGGAAAAAACTTTTAGAGCCATATCATTCAGAACGTAGTAAGAGACATCTAGAAATTGCATGAACGCAACATGGAGCTCGTATCCCTCAAGCTTATTCCACTACCAGTCCGAATTCTACAGCGGCGGTTCTCAATTGCCACGACTGGACCGACGTAACAGATGCAGAGACACACAGCAGCTTCTGGAAGCGCTGAAATAATACATTGACAAATGTCAGTTTCCCAAGAGTTCCGCAGTTTCCCGTCTTCGTCACAAAATCTACATGACCGCGGTGTAAATTAGTGACCGACTTCTCAATCAATGTGCCCTATGTGTGATCTACTTCCGTAGTGAAATTGCTCGCGGCGGTCGTTGCATCTGTTTTCAAAGCGGGGAGTTCTTGTTTAAAATTCCGCGCTTCTTTGATCCTGAAGCCTGCTCGCTTGCTATCGAGCCGTTAGATCTTCATCGCCCTTCGTTTCGCGCTTCGTGTTTCTTTGGGTGAGGTGTGTGCACATGCGTTCCCCGCTGGGAACTGGGATGTTTTTTCGGGTGAATGAAATAAAAAGTTCAGATCGCAAACTGGGTGTCTGATCTGCAAAATCAATAATGAACTACAGGACACAAAGTTTATTTATCACCGAGGTTTTTATTTCTTGAAAATTTACACAAATTATTGTTGAGTATTTTATGCTTCAATAAAATAAAAATAACAATTCAAACACTACTTCAAATTTCTCTGACATTTAAAAGAAAAGCCATAGATTTAAAGTATCGTAGGGAATAAATTTTAAATTTATTACTTTTCCATTTATATCTTTGTTTATTTATTGATATGAATTTTATTTGCAATCAATTTGTAGCATAAATATACTGTTGTATTCATTTATTTCACTATTGGATGGAAGTGTACAAGCAGGTTATCAACTATAAATCACTATGAAGATGTTTGAATCTTTTACATGTGTTCTAAAATCTTGTTCTATGAATTTTTTATAATGGAGTTAAATACACAAACGCAAAGTCTAAGAATGCAACATAGTGTCATTTGCATAGTTTCTTGAGTACAATTGTTATTAACGAACTCATGTATTCATGTTATTAGCTGGAGCAATGGTAAACCATGCATGCTTCAATCTTCATTCAACACATCAATACTGCAAAATATCGAAGAAAAAAAGTTTGATAGTTGCAAAACGTTTTTGTACATCTCTGTCAATCCGGTGCACCAAGCAACTCCATTATCTCCTCGAACAATCCACCACTTAGCTATTCGAAGAACCCAACAAGATCAGATCCTCTTCTCACTACCCGGAGATTCTGTAACAAAAACCGGCGACCGCGTTGAGCCCTCACAGAGAAATTGCTGGGAGATATTATCACGCAGGAAACATCCTTGCGGGAACCCTAGCAACTGACCGCGTAGACACATCATTGAGAAACTTGCCATCACGCCAAAACAATCCGACACCTGCCTTCTGTGTCCAGGGTTAGGGTCTTTCAAGTCATCGCCGGACACAGGCGTTACAAATTATGTAGGTGAGCGATAGGTACACGTGAGCGAAGCGTTCCTCAATGGCGATCGTAGGCAATGTTGTTGACCTCAGACACTTGCCAACCCTGAGATGTCGTTAGACTGCCGATCTCGCACCTCACAGCCAGCACCGAACCACAAAACTCCCCAACTCGTCAACGATGGCAAAATCATGACCTTCTGCAACTTCGCAAACCCTTGTCTAGAAATGCGCGCGCACGTTTTACTCGCATGGACACCAACTTCGATGACTATGGCGGCTTGGTGGGAGCGAGTTTTGCACCACGTGGAATATGTTTAGTACAGGTGGAGAATGGCGGTAGCAGAGAGTCCAGCGGTGAGAGAGAGGCTCAGTGTTGGCAGTGGTGCTTCTATGAGGCTGGGATGGATGGATGATAAAACACTGCTTGGTAGGTCCTGGTGGATGACGATGGCATCGGAACACATTTATTCATCCACGTATCCCCATCTTACTCGTCTCTGTCTGTTCCCTTCTTCTCTGGGTTCCTCATTAGCTTTGCCAGGTGGTCTTTCAATTAAAAAAGAAAATTTGTACACCAAAAGCCTTAGTTTTTAGAGATGATATGAATTGAAAAAAGGTACACTATATGGATTATTTTTATTTTTTAGCTATAATAGAATATGGTAGTTCAGAAAGAATTATTTAAATTTCGAAAAGAATTATTTAAATTTGGTATTTTTAGTTCTCTTGATACATCTTCTTAAATTTTTGGGAAAATTATTACTAGGCTTTTTCTCAGTGATTGGAGGAAAAAAAAAATGTTGTGAAAATCAGATTCTACTTCATTTTATTTTTTTTCTTTTCACAAATTTTTTATTCTTCGGAAGTGTAACGCAAATCAAAAAAGACTTTCTTATTTCTACCAATCACAACCTATGAAAGTTGCGGCTTCTCACTTTGTCCGCTAAAAGTAAAACTCCTTTTACTGTGATTTTGTAAAGTATAGATTGTCACCATTTCTTGACTTCTTTGACAACATAAGAATCCAATGTTATCTTATCACCTTATATTTTGTTTACAATCTGTTAATTAAAGTATTAAATTTTGATCACATGAATTATTTCTAAAAAAATAAATTCAAATTTCAAGTGATAAGACCATGCTTAAAAATACAAGTTTTTGTTAGTGATCTATATAAATAAATATATACATAAATCAGGTCACACACAAGAGTAGGGGAACACTAAGCAGAGCATCCATTCCAAGAGTTACCCCACCTCTGTGTGTCATGAGTGCACATCCTGCATTTGGATAAAGTGAACTAAGATAAAAATAAAAAAATTATAATGTCGACGAAAGTTCTTGCACAGATGTTGGACTCAGCCCCCTTGAACTGGGGCTGAGCTGCCCTTCTAACCCCATCGAAAAATCCAATCCCACCGCTGGGCTGCATTTGCAATCAATTCACACTCTCATTCACCATTCTAATCCTAACCCTGACCCAGTGACCGTGCCTTCACCAGCTCATGCACACGATTAATATCGAACACCTCCCACAAATAAACAGGTGCAAGCCCTAATTGTCACTAGGTCCCTAATTCGCAGCATAGAGTATCGAACATGCGAAACCCAATTTGGATGGTCTGTTGAAAAATATTGAAAATATCCGTTGACCAGCGCTTTGATTCAATTCGATCCGTCATTTTTAAAGTAATTGGAAAACTTCAAGCTTTCTAATTTAGGCCTAGAAGGGCATAGAGCTGGCAGTTAACCAGATCGAGAGAGACAGATGGACACACATGATACACATTATCTCGGGAGTGGAGCGGAAATGGTCGACGTCGTAGGCAGCCCTCGGCGGCGACGCATCCTTAGGTCATAATCAGGCCAATGAAGCGAAAGTAACCAAGGTGAAGCATCTAGAAACGGAAACAACGAGGGAGGACACCATTTTGGATGACAGAAGAGGCGACATGCTTCGGGGAAGGAAGGATTTGAGTACAGTTGCAGTGTCAGAGAGAAGGGGTAAGCAGATTCGTTTCCCCGCGTAGAGCTGTCGGTACTGTTTCTGAATGGAGGGCTTGCACGTTCCTTGTTGCCGTGCTGGACTGATGACGCTGCATTTGCGTTGAACTGTGGTCGAAACTCATTCCGCATGTTCGTTCGGACACAGGTTGGAATAGTTTAATCGGTTTCGAGTGGTCGTCGATCGGCACCTGGTGGAAGCTAAGAGCGTTAGCCGAGGGTTTCTATTTTTGCGGAGATTGAGGATCTCGAGGAAGTGGAGAAGGATTCTTACGGGATGCGGACGGAGGTCGGTGCTTTGCGAGAACTTTGTTTGGTTGGGGTAGGGATCGGCGGTGCTGTTGTGTGGTGGTGTCGGAGGTGTGGGCAAAGAGAAGACTAGAGCATGCGGGTGAATGAAGTGGAGTGACGAAGCTGGAGAAGTGCCGTTAGCGGTATTGGTCGGGGAAGGAGGAGGCGGGGTTGGGGTGTGGTGGCTGGAGTAAAGGATGCAGTCTCTTCATCGCCAGGGCTTGCAGTGCTGGTGTTTGCTACTGCTGTGCTTGTCGAATGGAGTTCGCGCGACTGTGGAAGAAGGTTCGCTGTTTCTCCATGGGTTGAATTTGTAAAGGTCATGTGTGAGGTAGGTGCATGCGTACATGGTTGCCTAGGACGAACTTGTGGTAAGCTGATGCAAGTAGTAGTAGGAGTGGGAGACAAGGAAGGAAGGAAGGAAGGAATAGAACGGTGGCAGCGAGGAGGGTCGAATAGGAACGAAATCTTCGTAGGCTCTCGGGGGTAGTAGTAGTTTCACGAGGCTGCTGCTGCTGCTGCAAGGTCGGTGATTTGGGATGCTGGAATGGTCGTGGTCATGGGTAGGGTGGGGAGGGATACGTGGTGAGGGAGAGAGCCCCATGACCGTCGGCGTGGTGCAGCGGGCAAGCCATAGTCAAGCCATGAGGATGTATGTATTGGGGAGGGGGGGGGGGTATCGTGGTGGTAGGGCTTCCTGTCCTTTCTGTGGTGGTGGTGGTGGGATGAGGTGTCACAGACCTTAGCCCTAATCGATCGACCACAGTACCAGGTCATCCACGTTGGAGCCATGGCTGTGCGTGTTTATATACATGTTTATATACATACTCACATCACACCCAGATGCATCAAATGATGGCTTCAGAGTGAAAGCTTTTCTAGTGATAGGGGATGACAATTCCAGCAGAGCCTGATTGAATGCAACGGGACTTGTGGCTAACAGAGTGCATCTTCTGAATCTTCATCAGAGATGGCTTTGAGTTGATTTACATCCCAAGTTCAGGGCTTGTGATGAACATATGCCATAGTTAGTTCCTTGGGCCTCAATATATTGGTTTTGAGTGGTTGTTTATACAAGGCAAGATTTTGGTCAATTGTGATATCAATTTGGTAGCATAGTGTTTTGAATTAGACCTTGATATTTTAAAATGTTGATTATTCTTTTGCGGTAGAAATGAGCAAATACACAAAAAGTTGTAACTTTTTTAGTATCTTATTTATTTACTTTATTAGAAGATTTTGCCTATATAAATGGGATCTTGTTTTGTTTTATTGTATTTTTTTTGGAAGTATGCAAGTTTGAATTATAATATAGTATAAAATGCAACTTGAGTTTAGTGGTGTTTTTTTTGTTGGTTATTAATTGATTGATATTATGATTTGTCATGTTGTATTTTAGGTTTATGTTTTTATTAGAATAAAAGACAAAATATTTTAATGCATATGATTTGACAACTTGTAAATGTTATTGTAGGAAAAATATTGATTGATTGGAAAGCACAATTGGAATATCCAAATGATAAGCTAAGAACTTGGTCAGGAAGTGATCCCTGTTTCAATACAAATCCATGGGACCAAGTTTCTTGTGATCCAGATGGATTTGTGATACGAATGTGAGGCTATACACTTGATATACTCTTGTCAAATATATGTACTTTGATTTTTTTGAAATATTTATGTAAAACTTATTTATGTTAATAAATGTAGAATTTACTTAATTGAATAGTATTAGATTTAAAAATTAAAATCACAGAATTGATTATTTTGTTGTGTTTTTTTGAATTCTTGAATTCTTTGATTAATTTATCTACTTTTAAAATGGTTTAAAAGTATCTAATTAACACCTTTGTGATTTTTATTGTAGAGGTCTTGGAAGTTCTAATTTGACAGGGACATTGACACCTGAATTTGGACAAATCAAAAGATTGAATTCATTGTAAGTATCAAAATTTGCTTGTGTTAAAATGTAAGCTTGTAGGAGTGAATTTTATAATGCAATTTTCCAAGTTCTTGATCCTTTATTGCAAAAGAGATTGCGACTTATTTAGACATAAAATTTGGCATGTATATTATTTATTTATATACATTACTTTTACTTATATTTGAATCCATTGTTGGAAGTGTGTTTTTATGAATATTATTTTAAAGCATTAATTTAAATATTTATCATAAAATATTATATCATATGTATATATGTATTTTGTTTTAAGATTAAAATTATATATATATTTTTTTTGAAGGATTCTTTCTGATAATCACTTCAATGGAAGTATACCTGAAGCATTGGGGGACCTTTCAGAACTTATCTTTTTAGACCTTTCCAATAATTATCTTTCTGGATCCATTCCAAGTACTTTGGGCAATCTCACTAAATTAAACGTTCTGTAAGTTTGATTTCTCTTTAAACTAATTTATTTTATTTATATTTTTAAGAAGCTATTTTAACATATATATATTTAATTAACTAGTATAATGTTTTCTTTAGCTTGGAACCAAAGAGTACATGTATAAAACTTGGTCAATGTAGTTTTTTAATGATTTGTAATAGATAGGTATCACTATAGTTATAATTTTTTTAAGTAAAAAATAACCAAGTACTTCATTTTTGGACATAGTTTCTAATTGATTTTTTACTTTGGTGGTGATGTTTGTGTAGTAAATTGAACAATAATCACCTTTCAGGATCTATTCCAATAGAACTTGCTGCCCTTCCTAATCTTCGTGATATGTAAGTGCATTTAACTAAACTTTTATGTTTAAGACTTTTCAAATTTAATTAAAGTGGAATGTTAAGATATGTTATTTTATAAAAAAATAGATTAGAGAATAATCAATTAAGTATAGAAGTAAAACTATACATAAAACATAAATAAATAAATTTATAATTATTAGATTTGGAATTTAAAATATGTTAAGAAGATTTATATTAATATGATTCTAATTTTGTACAAGTAGTATCTTGATTAGATTCTTTTTTCTATTTGATTAAAAATGCAATCTAGATTTTAAAGTAATACAAATAGGTTTTGATAATTAGTGGTATTCTATGGTTCTTTGCAGACACTTAGAATTTAATAATCTATCAGGGAGAATTCCAATTTCAGGTGTATTTGGAACTGCTTCTTCATCCAAGTAAGGATTATAACTTTACAAATATTTTAATAATTATACTAAATTATAATAAAACTTGCATCTTAAATGTACACTAAACTTCTTGATTGTGACTTGTTATCTGAGTTGAATTTTTAATAATTTGGAATATAAGTATAATTTTGGTGTTTATTCTTACATCTTTATGGCATTTTTTTATGTAAAGTTTTGCAGGGAATCCTTTGTTATGTGGAGATCAAATTGCAAATCAATGTGTTGGTGATCCACCACGTTCAAGTTCAACATCAATTTCAATAGGTATTTCTCTCTCTCTTTCTATATATATATATATATGTATATATATGTGTATATATATATATATATATATATATAGATGTTGTTATTTTTACTTATTCAATTTCATTTGTAATGTGAATTGGTTATTTTTAATTTGAAAATCATATGGACTATGTGATTATTATTCAATAATATTAAATGTGTGGAACTTTTATGATTGTAGGACCTATAATAGGAGGAGCACTTGGAGGTATTGTGTTTCTTGCAAGTGTTGGTGGTTTGTGCTTTTGGTGCAAGCGACGCCATCCTAGTGATGCCTTCTTTGATGTGCCTGGTGAGGTCTTAAATAGAAATTTTAATCACAAAAATCATTGAATTATCTAAGACATAGTAATAAAATTTAAATTATTATAAAAGTAAGTAGATTTATTAATAATTTTACTTATTATAAATAAAACCAATAAGAATATTATTATGTGTTATCTTTAAATGGTAAGACTTTCTTCGCATACAAATATGTGTGTTTGTGTATTTATTTGAGATTAATTGAAATAAGACCTTCAAACTAATATTTTTTTTTATAAAATAAACTAAAAACTTAAAATATATTTAAAAACTATAGAAATAAATGTTACATGAAGTCTTACATTTAGTTTTAAATCTTATTAACATTTAGATGTTAATATTAGTATGTATAGTTTTTGTTTGTATGTGACATGTATAGATTTCTAAAGTGTAATATATATAAGAACTAATTGATGTGGTGTGATTTGGCAATTACAGCAGAAGAAGATACTCGAGTAAACTTAGGACAATTGACACGCTTTACTCTTTCACAACTAAAAAATGCAACTGAGAATTTTAGTAGTAGGAATGAAATAGGACGTGGTGGATTTGGTATTGTATACAAGGGAGTATTATCTGATGGAACTCAATTGGCAATCAAGCGTCTTAAATTGGAAAGTCGTAGCATTGGAAATGAAAAACAATTTCAAACTGAGGTAAACATTGTCTTGCCTATTTACAATAAGATTAGATTTTTATCTTATTTAAATAGATGTATTTACTTTTTTATTTTAATTAATAGATGATTGATTAATATAAATATTGTACACATGGATATTTTTTTTTATACCTTAGCATTCATATGTGATTTAGTAGTTTGAAGAAAAACATATACTTGTTAATAATACTTCAAAATAGCTATACACTTCTACTTATAGGTTGATAAAATAATATATTTAAAAAAGATTTTGTAATTAAATATTTATTTGGATGTATTACTCTAGTTAGCTTTATAAATGGTTATCATATATTATGAAATGTGATTCTTGTAAATTTAGTTATGTAAATGTAAAGTTTTGTCTTAACTTAGATTAACTAATTTAATACTTGTTGGATGGTTCTTTAGGTTGAAATTATAAGCATGGCATCACATCGAAACTTATTGCGACTATATGGCTTGTGCACAACTCCTACAGAGCGATTACTTGTATATCCTTATATGGCAAACAGAAGTGTTTCTTTTCAATTAAAAAGTATTTTCTTTGACCAAGAAAAACCTTCTTGTGTTAATCTAATATTTTAAAATTTCTACATAGTGTTATGTAAAATAATAATTTATACCAATAAAAATTCTTACGTTGTGTTAGTTTGGATTAGCAATAAATTTTTGGAATAATAGAATTTATTATTTTAAACATGTGCTTTGTGGATCTTATTGTAAGATCAATTTTTAGTAACAATTTAGCATTATTATTTAAGAATATAAACAGGTAAAATTTTCAACATTACTTAACTAATTTATTTTTTTGTTTTGTTTTTCTTTGTAATGGTTGCAGAAACTGACCATGGAGCACCTGCTATGACTTGTCAAATGCGGAAACGTATTGCTCTAGGAGCAGCTAAAGGTCTTGCATATTTGCATGAACAATGTAATCCTAAGATTATTCATCGTGATGTCAAAGCTGACAATATTCTTTTGGATGATGAATTTGAAGCTGTGGTCGGAGATTTCGGCTTGGCAAAGCCTATTGATTTTAAAAATACACATGTTACTACAGCAATTCGAGGAACAATTGGCCATATTGCTCCGGAGTACATGTCAAGTGGAAAGTCATCAGAAAAAACAGATGTATATGGGTATGGAATTACATTGCTACAATTAATTACTGGACAAAGTGCTCTAAACTTATCTCGCTTGGCAGATGATGATGTGATGCTTTTGGATTGGGTAAGTTTCTTAACCTTTTCTCTTGTGTTGCCTTTCTTTATTGCTTCTTACGTCAAAAAAATTAAGAATTTACAATCTTAAAGTTATCAAAATTTTTAATTTTTAAAATTTAAATTGAGAAAAGAAATCACTTAAGACGTTTTGTTTTATATTAACTTTTACTTGTTTTTTCCCTTTTTATCTTTCTATTGTGTAGGTGCGAAAATTGGAAAAAGAAAATAATGTGGAGAAAATGATAGATCCTCACTTAAAAGAGTACAACATGAATGATATTAAAGAGTTGCTAAAGGTGAGTTCTTAACTCCATAAAATTTCAATTATTTTATTAATTTATAAGACTTTTTTATAAATTAATAAATAATACATGATTTTTATTGTAGAGAATTTTGAATAGTTTATATGAAATCTATAGTTATTATTATTAATATTTGTAATTACATTAAACTAATCTATAAAGTAATTATTTAATATATTTATATTGATTAATTTGTTTTCAACATTTTTAATCTTATTAACAAAATCTAATATATTAAAATGTTCTGTTAAGTTTGTGATACCTAATTTTGTTTGAATGAATAGGTTGCATTGTTGTGTACGGAGAATAATCCTACATCTCGACCAAAAATGAGTGAAGTAGTAAATATGCTAGAAGGAGAAGGCTTAGAAGAGCGATGGGCAGAGTGGGAGCAAAGAGAAGTTCAACGAAACCAAGAAGCATTAGACATGCCTCATCTTCCTGTGGGATGGAATTTAGATTCTAATTCTTCTTTCATGCAAGCTCTTGAACTATCAGGGCCAAGATAGTAGAATGTTATCTCAGATTTAGGACAATTAATTAGCAAACACCTTATTTATTTGTTAATTTATTTGCATTCATGCTTCATGAGTAAGCTACCATTTTAGTAAGCATTTACATACAATCCACATTTTTTGTTTTATATCAAGTAAGAATACAAAAAGAATGAATTGTGATTTTGTATTCTTATGTTTTAAGATTTTATTAGACTTTGAAGCTTATAATATTGCAAAAAACTAACAGCAATAAAGAATTTTTTCTTTTTACTTTTTTTTAAAAATATATATTTTTTGATATATTTTTTTACATTAAAATAAATAGATGATAAATAAATACAAAAAAATACAACTAAATCAGCAAAAACTACATTTTTATTGACCATTATTGATTATTGGTCTTATTTATAATTTTAATAGTCATCATGTGCTTCTTTGATTTAAGAGACATATTCCAAATCATAACATGATGCATATCTTGTATTATTTGTAATATTGAGTTAAAAAATATAAAATATAGACTTTTTTTCAAATACACCCCTTAAATATCTTGAAATATTTAGTACATCCCTACATTCTTGATAATAAGAAATGTACCCATTGTATATGTTAGGATATCACAATGAGGGGTACATTTGCTATTATTAAGAATGTAGGGATATTCTTAATATTTCAAAATATTTGGGGGTATATATGAAATTTTCTCTTAAAATTACAGTAAAATTGAATTTACAATGAACATCTTTAAAATACATAAAAATGGAGGAGATTTTGAACTATTTAAAAGATATTTGATTTTAGAATAATATTTTTGATATATTGCAAAAATTAAGCGAATAGAATGCTAAATTCAACTTTTCATTTTGTAACCTCATGGAATAGTCTTACATTTTTTCTATGCATTTAAAAGCTCACAATGATTTATAGTTTTTGGCATCAAAATTAATTTTGTAAAATATCACCTTTTTGATATTATAAATTATTTTACTTTTATTTTTATTTATTTAGTTTAATTAACTTTTATTTCAGATTATCAAGATCTGATCCATACTGCTTCAACTTCACCATACTAGTTTAGTCTGATTGAGTGTAGAATAATAATTATCAATATGTATTTCTATCAATTAATTTTAGTTAAAAAATAATAATAATAATAATAAAAAAAGACGTACTAGTTTGACACTTTGGATCATAAAATTTCAATAAATCTAACCAATAAAGAATATTTAATTCCTCTAAAGCATCCCTATGTAAATATAAATAAGTGTCACCAACATCATTCTATATAATACATTTTTATTGATAATATTGTTGAATATAATGTTTAGTGGGAATCCTTTTTCATAGCTAGTTGTCATCATTTAAACGAATTCCATTTAGTTGCCATATACTACAGGCTGCTTCAAGCATTTAATCTTTATTTTGTAAGATGAAATGCCATGGAGTCCATGCTTTTCTTAATTTTTGATTTTTCGATTTATTGATCACTAAGGACTTAAGTTGAATTTTTACTTTTTGAAATTTAGGTAGTACTGTAGAAATTTCAAGGAGACACTAAATAAGTTTTAAAATAGAAAATTTCATATATATCCTTGAAATATCAAAAATATTCCTACATTCTTAATAATAGCAAATGTATGACTTGTATATGATAGGATATGACCATGAGGGGTATATTTGTTATTATCAAGGATGTAAGTATCCTTGATATTTTAAGATATTTGAAGGATATATATAAAATAATTTTTAAAATATTATATATATATATATATATATATATATATGTTTAATTTTATATTAGACATATTAAGCTTCTTTGTTTTATTATTCTTTATTCTTCTTATTTTTTTTCTTAAATCATTTTTTTTTCTTATATCAATTTTAATAGATGTTTTCAAATCATTACTTTATGAAAGAACTATGATAACATAAGCAAATAAGTGAGAGTTTTTAGAATTTTAGAATTTATTAGTGTCAAGAAGTTTCTAAATTTACAAATTAAAGCTAAAGATTAATTAGATTGAAATTAAATTTCATTACCTTAACACTAAAAAGATTGATATTATTTAAGTTCTTTCATAAAGTAAAAAGATTGATAGTAAGGTTTCTAAAATAGAAAATTTAAAAATAAATAAATTATTAATTAATCTTAAAAATTTAAAGAAGTAATTATATAGATAATAATACATCAATATTAGAGACTATTTTAAGAAAATTTTCTCGGTTGATGTTATATAACTACTTTGCATGTGTATATTGTATAGAATATAAAAGAATAAAAACTTTGTTATTAAAGAGCACTTTCTACCTAGAAGACAAGATCAAAGACTACAACTTTTATATGTTTTGATTTGTTGAAATTGAGAAGTCTTGATGAATTGGTTTTATATTTAGAAAAATAAGTCCAAAGATATCATGGACATACATATTTACTTAGATTAAAGGAATTAGATAGAAATAATTTGAAGTATGTAAATTCAATAATATCTTATAGAAATACCTTTCAAAAGATTTATGGATGCAAATTTGACATTATACGTATTTGTATGTAATTGATAGGTTGAAAACTTAACCACATGTTATACATGTTGGTGATTTGTGGTAAAAGTTACCTATATGGAAAACATAAAGGAAATTTTTCTTGCAAGTTAGACTTGTGTTAAAGGTCCTACAAAACATTGCCATATAGCTCTTAAATAGATTGTAAATATGGAGATAAGTGTCAGGCCTTTTTTACTCTTATCATACATTTATTATTCTAAGTTTTGTTTCAAGAGTCTCTAGTCTTTTTATCTTTTGGAATAGTCATTTTGGACTTAATGTTATATCATCTTTGAGTGATTATTTAATCTTTTTTAGTAACATAAGAATATATTGATTTTTTGATTCTTTGTGATTTCTATCTTAGATAATTTGATAAGAGTGTTGTTTCACTATTCTTGTTTTGTTTTAGAAGTGAGTGAATTAGTGAAATTTTTTTGTTGTGTTTTAAAGATTGTGGACTATCCACCTTTAAATTAATAATTTTTATTTTTTAATATTGATTTTTTTAAAAAAGAGAATAAACTACATTTCTTTATAGAAAATTTTATTCAATATTAGTGATTAGAAATTAACTTTTTTTAATTTGATTTATAGATTTATAAAAATTGATTATTATAGAGATAAAAAAAAATTATTGATGCTATATTTGGCAAAAGTGAATATAGATTTGTAACTATTGTAAATTTGTAGGAATTTGCTAACACTCTTAAGGTGGAAATCTAATATATTATCAATATCCATCATAGAGATATTATTCTTATATCTATGGAAGAAGTCAAGAATGAAATTCAATATCTATGCTAAAAGATTATGTAGTTGAAAGAGCAAATAGACCAACATCACAATTGAATGTGAGAAGTCTTGCTATTGTAAGTATGAAGAAGAAAGGATTAATATACTGAAGGAATTTGATGTAATAAGATCAAAATTTTGAAGATTTTTTTTTAACAAGTCAAGTTTTATCTAAGGTTATATTATTTTAAAGATTTAATTAAGTTAGATTCATAAGTATATTTTTATTTGGAAATGCTTTCTTACTTTGTATTTTTGATGAAAATTGATTTACATTTCTTATATGATATAAATTCATTGTTGGAAGTGTTTAAAACCACATTTTTAAAAAATGATCAAAAAAAGTAAAAAAGACCATACTCTTATCTTCACAACAAAGATTATGTTTAGCTATCATATATATTAGTGAATTCCAAAACCTTGCTTACAATGTAGATTAAAATGATAAAGTCCTTATGAACTACTTTTGATATGGATTAAAAGATAATGTTTAAGATTTATTATTGGCAATATAAAGAATAGATTTATTAAAATAATTTATTGCTCAAGCAATTGCATGTGACAATTGACTTTTTAACAAATGCAAAGTACAAAAATTTAGTTGAAAAAGAACAATCAAAGTGATATCATACTTACTAAAACTCTCTCTAAACAAGAAAAGATTTGACATTGTTAAAAAAGATTGTCCATGTATTGTACAAAACCTAAGCACATTGCTCAACATTATTCAAAGATGTAATACAATCACAAATTAAAAAAAATGGTTGCTAAAAAATATAATATATTATAAAATAAGTTTATCTAATTATAGTAATTATTTTTTAATAAGAATCTTATATAGTACCTAATGAAGATCATATTTTTTTCTCTAATATTTCACTTTGTTTCATTATAGATGTTTGTTTAGAATCAAAAAATTATAAAGTCTTTTCATTATTAGATTTAAAAGCTTCACCTTATTTTTATAAAAAAAGGCTTTATTAAAAAATAAGAAATATATATTGTCAAAAAAACTAAGCCCATACATGTAAAAATCATAAATAGTTACTTTTATCTTTTGGAAATGTTATCTATAAAATTATTCATATAAAAGTAAAAATTAATAGTTGTCATAATTAAATAGTATTTAATATTATAAAATCTCTTTTAAACTTAATTATTTTAGATTTATTATAGATAGAGAAATATAATCCTCAAATAAACTTGACTTCTTATAATTTTAATTTTTTCTATACTATAACCTAGATTTTTGTTATCGAAGTAAAAAATCATAAGTCTAGTATATCCATATACTTGTTGATAGGTGAAAGAACTTGTATGTATGTTGCAAAAAAATGAGTCAATTTTTGTTATTTATGCCATATTTTATTTTTTGGTAGAAAGACTTCAAGTGACATTCCAAGCTAATAGAAAGATTACCTAAATAGTTTTGAAAAGAAGAATGTGAATATACTTCCAAATCATCATTCTCATAATTGCTCAATTGATCTTCAAAAAAGAAGTTAACTCCTATTTAGAATCTATAGCTTATTGCAAAATGAATTTCATTCAATGAGTATATTGATAAAACCTTGGTTAAAAACTTTATACACCATTCAAAATCTCCACTAGGAACTTTTATCTTATTTGTAAAGAAAAATAATAGATAATTGTAGATATATGTGGACAAATCCTAAATAGTCTTCATATTAATAATAGGTATTTTTTACTTTTAAAAATAAGATTTCTTAATCAGTTAAATAAATCAAAGATATATACTAAAATAGATCTATAAAAAGCATACAACTTGGTATATATTAAAAAAATGAATAAAAAATCTATAGTTTGAATCAAGTATAAGAATTTTGAATA